ATAGAAATGAATGTTTTTCTACTGTAGCTGCATTAAAAAGATGCGTAGTAATGCTAGAATTGTCGTGGAATTTCACCATTAATTAAGCAATCAAATCAATAAAACGTGCTAAAAATGCATCTCAACATTTATATTATGCTATATCAAGATAACAAAATGAACAAAAAACAATACATACAAGTTTACCAATTACTACAACTAATCTGCCTTTGGGTCTAATTGTAACGTAAATATCAAAATTTTATTATTGCTTAAAGGTAAATTTTTTATTACATTATTATAACATACATTATGTTTACCTAACTAGACTTCTTATTATTCCTATCTTCGTTCAAAACAAAGTGTTTGCTAATATAGTTCATATTTTGATATCACTAAATTAACATAAAACTGGAACATTATAGTTCAGTTTGATGCAACATGTACTCCTTTTTCAGGTATACATGGCTAAGTCACGAAGTCAAATCCAAAAAGAGTACAGAGAGAGAAAGAAATTGAAAGAGGGAAAGAATTATTTAAAGAAAGAATCAGCCAGGGTGATTAAATACTATGTTCCAGCAGCTGAATTGCCAACTAAGGAAAGAAAAAAAAGAAACGAAAGAGCAAAAGTCCACAACCAAACACATAAACGCAAAAGAAATGCAGCAGCAATGGTTTTGAATGAATCTGTTACAGAAAGCAGTGGTTATGAAAGTATAGGTAGCCCATTGGTGGTAAAGTTGCCACTTGTTGGAAGGAGGAAAGGAGGAAAAAAGAAAAATACAAGAGCTTTAGCTAGAGCCCATGGTGCAATGAAGCGTTTGAAAGTAGAAAAGGAAAAGCTTCTGAAAAAATTAAAAGCAAAGTCCAGACAACTGAAAAGGCTCAGCACTAAGATTAATTCCGGAACTAGAAGGCCATCTGAACCTTGTACACCTAACAGCAAAACTGAATTAGAACTGAGAGAATTAAATTTGACACCCAGAAGAAGAGAGAGGGTAAAGCGAAAGTTAATGTTGAAGAATGTGGTGTTGCACGAAATTTCAGAAGCAAGAGCTTCAACTTCGTCCATGTATGAGAGACAGTCCATAGCTAGACTAGTGTCTGGAAAGTTGTCAAAGAAATACAGACTCAATCTTGCTATAAGTAAAGGAACTGGTATATGTAGAAAGACTTTGACAAAAGTGTCCACAAAGCGGGTAAGACCAGACAGACGTATTTGTGCAGTCAAACAGCTTGCTTTAGATGTTGAAGATTTCATGAGCAGAGAAGATAATAGTCGCATGCAACCAGGAAAAGGGGATGCAATTAAGATTTCGAAGGGAGAAAAGAAGCAAACAATTATTCTAACAAATTATCTTGCTGATCTACATAAGAAATTTTCTGCAGAAAACCCTCAAGTGAAAATTTCGTTGGCAACCTTTTGTCGTTTACGTCCACGCCATATCTTAACAGCAAAGTTCATATCCCGAACATCCTGCCTATGTATAAAACATCAGAATATGGCCCTCAAGTGTCGGACACTTAAGAAATACAACATTTTCGTAAGAGAAAATCCTGAACACTTAATAGGTCAAAGTCTTGAAATAGAGCGTTCTATGGACCAGCTGCTAGAAAATCGAGTGGCTTATCCAGTATGGAAACAAGTCGCTGTTGAAGATAAAAAGAAAATGAAGATTTTAGAAAATACAGTAGAGAAGAATGAATTTAAAGAGATGATGAAAGTTGAAATGAATCAGTTTGCAAGTCACGTTGACAGAGTACGGTGTCAATATAGAGAAATCAAAACACTTAAAGATAGCCTTAAAGAGAAAGAAATTTTAGTCCAAATGGACTTTGCAGAGAACTATTCGTGTAAGTCTCTTGCAGAGGTACAGAGTGCCTATTGGAACCAGACCCCAGTCACCATACACCCAGTAGTTGTATATTTCCGTGGCCAATCAAAATTAGAACACAAAAGCATCGCAATAATTTCTGATGAACTTTCTCATTGTACCAGTACAGTGTGCACATTTCTTGATTCTTTAGTTCCAGTCTTGAAGGAAATCTGTCCAAATGTCGAGTTTGTCCACTACTGGACGGATAGTCCATCAAGCCAATACCGCAATAAAACCATTTTTGACCTCGTTGCAAATCATTCATCAGTTTATGGAATTCAGGCCCGTTGGAATTATTTTGAGGCTGGGCATGGCAAGGGACCTTGCGACGGTCTTGGTGGAACAATCAAAAGAATGGCTGACGAAGCAGTGAAGAGAGGAGCAGTTGTTATTCAAGATCCAAAAGAATTTTTTGATTGGTCTATAACTTCAAACATGAAAGAAGTGAAGTTTTTGTTTGTAAAAAAAGAAGATTGCAAGAAGAAGCTCGACCAACTAAATAAACTAAAGCTGAAGCCAATTAAAGGAACAATGAAGTTTCATGCTGTAGCCTATGACTTACAGACGGCCGAACTTTGCACCAGAGAAACATCATGCTACTGTGACACATGCTTGAAAGGGAAATTCTGTGAATCCTGGAATAGACAGACATATGAAGGTAACACAAATCATAACAGTCACACAGAAGAAACAGTCACACAAAACGAATTGCAAGAAAGTAATGAGATCCAAAATGAAGATTATCATGAAATAATAATAGTAGAAGTGTCAGTGGATGACTTTATTGCATGTGTTTATGAAGGTCAGTGGTACATCGGGAAAATTTTAGATATGGACGACGAAGATGTACAGGTTACCTTTCTCGAAAGAGCGAAAGCTATGTTTAGGTGGCCAACTTCACCTGACACGATATGGTGCAAAAAATCAGACGTCTTCTATAAACTTGATCATCTAGAGCCTTCCGGAAAGAGCAAACGCTTTTGGAAAATAAGCCCAGAGGACAGAACTAGAATTGAGAACAACTTTGAAGCTCATGAAATGAACACAAATAAATAAAACATATTTGTTGAATTGTTTAACATGTTTGATGCATAATCTTTGCATTTTGATATTTACGTTACCAATTAAAAATTTGAAATTTTTGTCTCTTATTTGATGGTAGACAAATGTCTGAGTTGATAAATTCGTTGTACATTCATTAAAAAAACTTTCAATGTTTAAAGTCAGAATTTCGGATTAAAATTTTATAAGTTAGATTATTGATATTTATGTTACCTTTACACAGGTCTATGAAAAGTTTAAAATATCTACCATGCCAACATTTCTTTGGGAAAACCTTTTTCATATTTCATTGCAATTATTCAAAAAAAGGTATCAGCCATAAATTGTTTGCTTGCAATGCATTGAACAGAGAAAAAAAAATAAATCAAAGAAAGTGATTTTATAGAGTTAAAGGAACAGCACCAGTTTAAAAACGGACCCAGTTTTGATTTGGCTGATTCGGTCATATGAATTTCGGACCATGGTAATCAGAAGTCAATTTGAAAGTCAAAACTGTTGTTCTATTTAGACAACTCAATATTTTGAAGTATATTGATGAGCATTGGCTTTATTTAATATGTTTAAAACAGTCAGTTGCAGATCACGTAAATATTTTGTCAAAAATTGGACATTAAAGGCGCCAAAACTAAGAGCTGGTAAATTTTTTATCCATGTTTGTGAGTAGAAAAGAATAGCAGTTTTGATTAACAGGTTTATTTAGGTATAATGTATGAAAGGTTTTAATGTAATTTTGTAACCTTTATTATAATTGATTTAAGCATATGCCTTAGCCACCGTAACTTGAGAATGAGTGATTTTTGGCATACCACCATCGCATTGTTGGCTGCTTTATTGGTCGGTACAAACACAAACAGCTTTGAAAATTCTTAAAGTTTATTTCTTATTCTGGAAATAGGCGTATTATGTACTCTTTTATTTATTTCTGTATTATTTTCAAAATGTAATATTCTATTATCTACAACATTCATACATCTATTTAAATAACAATCAAGAGATTTTTTATCAGATTTCCCCCGTTTACACCAATTTTTACAAAACGAGGAAAGAGCGTCTTTGGTGAACTGACGACACTGTTTCCAATCTATTTGAGATGGAGGACGATATTTTGGTCCTTTTTTCAAAAATGTTTTTAACCTCTCTGCCCTGGACGATATTGAGGTAATAACATGGCCATAGGGATCATATCTAAACTTCGTCGATTCACAATTTCAAGTTAAAGGAGTATTATTTTCTACATTGACGTCTGATGTTACCGATGTATAATTAAAAATTAAACGTCTGCTGGGTTTTTTTGTATGTGTACGAAATAATAGATGGATCTGTGTTATCAAAATAAGGAGGTATAAAGTTTTGAACGGTAGAGTCATTAAATATACTCGCCGATAAGTTGATAAATTCAATACCTCTGTTAATATATTTAATTTTCAGAAAGTGCCGTATATGATCTTCAGGTTTGTCGATACACGGTAACAGCCTATGGTGACAAAAGCTGTAATTATACGCGAACATTCATAGAGTGGGCTGAAGAAAGAGATGGTGTCACACTCCTTGGAAATATCTTGTAATTTACTAATTGGTATATGACCCAGTTTACATTATAATTGATGCCTACCATTATTTTTGAATATAGATAGATTACCAAGTGTATAATTTACACGGCGATGTTTCATTCATTGATTTCGATTGATACGTTTTCCATGAGACCTATTATTTCGTTGTTATGCCACGGTGTTTGACAGCTAATGCCCCTTAAATATATAATTGACCCAGGAACATATATATTTATACTGTTCCCAGATTGACCAGAGTCTGAGACATACATCTACGATAAATCATATATATATATATATACATATCGTTTTACTAGTTTTACGACAGATATCAAGGAACAATTAAAATCTGTCTAAGCTGGAAGAGAAAATGACATCACTATCTAATCCATATCGAGATCCATATGAACATATACATAATATGAACAAAGCGAGTCGTTGGTGTAACAATTTTGTATTTCCCGCGCTAACCGGCTTATACCGGAATAGTACAGATTTTCGGAACTGTTCTTGAGTCATCATTAGTCAGTCATCTAGAAATTATGAAGCTGGAAGTCTGTGTTCTATGGAAACGTATTTAATCATAATTTTATATCAGCTTTAACAATGGCAGGATCCATGCTTTGCAGATTAAACAGCATTAACGGTTTGGTATTGAACAGGTAAACACATTTGGTATTTGCTTTTTAATATTTGTGGAAAATCGACTCATTTGCATTTGACCGCTATGCCCCCTACACAAATGAGAGACTGTAGCAGCTAAAAGAGATGACAATTACCATATATTATACTGCTCAAGAATACTATTTCTGATAATTTATGCACACGTTAATTGTTTTTCCATGCTTTAATCTGCACGTTCACACCAGCTGATCAGTGGAGGTGTGTCTAAATATTTGAAGGAGACTGGTTGACACCAAAATGTGACCATGACAGTTAGCAGGTTAGCTTTATAAGGCTTTCACTGACTGGTTACAACATTCCTCCTTCACATTGTCAGTTTAACATGTGTAAATCCAGAATACGATTTCCTTATTCAAAAACTAATTTATAACTTAAATAATGCATTTCTATATGAATCATTTATTTCTGTTAAAACCTGTCAAACCTAACCCTAACCAAATACAGTGACCCTGCTTGCACCCATGTATACACTTATTTCCATATAATTTAAAATTAAAGTAGCATTCTTTGAAGTATTCTAGATTATTTAAATTGGCTCTTACATCATGTACATGTTATCACATTTAATTTTACATGATCATGATGATAGACAATTTTTAACATGTTTGATATCATAATAAATCAAACACATGTTTGATATAGAAATCATACATTTTTCTAACATGTACTGTTAGGCGAAACACAATTTATGAAGTATTATATGTGTGTCACTGTTTATAGGCTAAGCATGTTAAGGGTTACTTTCCTCCTAGGGAAAAGTATGTGTCATGTGTGTGTAGGTAGTTTGACAGTTGAAATTTATTTTTATATTTTGTAATTTTATTTTTCTTGTGGGGTTTTAGTAGCCGCCCTGAAATATCACATTATTCACCACCAAAAGTTCCAATAAAATTGTCTTTGAATAGTTGTTCTGTTGTAGGCCAATCAAAAGAGAACGTTCACAAAGTGTTAAAACTGGCCCTAAGATTTTGGCATTTTTTTAAATTATGACAAAATACTACAAATTTCACACAGAAATTAAGTTATGGGGCCTTTTAAAGCTGACTATGAGGTATGGGCTTTGCTCATTGTTGCAGGCCATATGGTGACCTATAGTTGTTAATTTCTGTTTCATTTGGTTTCTTGTGGAGAGATGTCTCATTGGCAATCATACCACATCTTCTTACTTTTATGATATAACTATGAATAAACAGTCAGGGGTACTACTTAAACAAGTGATTTCAGAATCACTTCCTCGAGTGATTTTGGCTGCGAAATATTAAAAATTTTCAAACAGACTTTTTAAAATCACTGAAACAAGTAATTTTAGAAGTTAAAATGTAATCACTTTAATAAGTGTTTATAACATTTTCTTGATATTTTTCCCACAAGCTTGATTTTTTTATTGGTAAAAAGACAACAATTCCATTGAAAAAACAAATATGTACATGCAGAAATTGTCTTTTGCTTGATAAGCCTGACACTTTTACATTTTTTTTAAAATATGCAAAAACTGGAATAGTTTGTAGATCAGGTCATAACCTTGAAGTAGATCATTTTAACTCTAAAGAAAACCAATCAGGTTACCTAATATTGTTGATCTTTGTCTGATAGTAAGAGTAGTTAATGAATTTTTGATTACAAAAAAATTCCCAAGGGTACTTTTAAAAGCTTTAGCGCACAAACTTACTGCCCAAGCGCACTGGTGAAATTAATATACAAAGAAAAAGGTATAATTGATTTATGTAGGAAAATTATAGAAAAGATTGTGAAAATATGGAAAATCAATGAAATTAGCATTTGAAGATCAAAGAAAACACTAAAATCACTTAAATAGGTGATAACTGAATTTATCAAAACACTGAAATAAGTGATGATGAAATCACTTGTTTAAGTAGCACCCCTGACTGATAAAAAATAACTTCTTTTTGGCACATAACACTAAAAATGACGATGAAATTACCCCTCAAGTATACACTATTTGTGTTTGTAATGTCGGTTTTGTTAAAAATTTTCAATAATTATAAACAGTTTTTAACATAATTTACTTTGGCCACCACCATTGATTCAAGAAGTTTTTGTGTCTAGGGATTAAATATTATCATTGCCGACTTTTGGCTACAAAATACATTGGATCCTAGGTTGCGTCCAAGGGTTTCCTCCAGCTTTTAGGTCTGAAAATATACACAAAATCTTCATTTTTAACAATATATCCAAAATGTGCTGACTTTGAAGCCTAGAATGTACTCATTTAACCTAGTAGTCTGGCTTTTAAAAAAAGATCTATTTACAGTCAAGGGTAACATTTATACAAGTCATTTTTATCTACTTGAAGCTGTTAGTAGTATTTTAACTTGTTTAAGTGAATTTGCAAGATTTTAATTTTATTTCAAGGTTTGAATTATCTCCCCTTAATCTTCTCCAAAAATTTACTTATACAAGTAATTATTTTTTACAACCCTTTAAATTCTTAAGTTTTGTGAGGTCAAAACATGCCTAAACAGAATTTGTCTGGTTTGCTAATTTACTTTTGTAGAATTCAACTTTTTATCTAAAGAAATCTTTTGCACACATATATGCATGATATGTCAAGTAACTGCACATTAGGCCTAAAGTAAACCTTGTCCTTTATTTTACCATCTTCTTCAAACTTAAAACAAATGCACCTCAAAATCCAGCTAAGTTTTTAATTTGTTGAAATTTTAAATGCATACATGTTTAACTTATATCTAGATCCAGTCATGTCTTTAAACTTTCTTAGATAATCATACACCAGTTTGTCTGTACTGGAGTATATATATACATTGTATTTTGTGGTGTAAAGATGACCACATTTGTCAATTCTTATAGATGAACCTTAAATATTTTAAGTTATTAGGCCAGATTTAAACATCAACATGATCAAATACATCCTGTTGTTGTCATATTATCATGATTATGAAGAAGGGTTCATTGCAAACCTGCCAACTTTCAGGATTTAGACATGAACTACACTATTTTGGCCCCTTGTCTTGATTGGACAATAGTGATCATGAAAAAAATCTAAAAAAGATTTTGAACTATCCCAAGGGAGACAATCGGTTTCATTCAGAGGCTGGTTGACAAATTTAACAATAAGGAATGCCTTTTGCAAAGTCTGGTATAGAAAACACAAAGTTGACTACTGTGGCCATGGTGGCCTGAATAAATGTCAAACACTGGAAAATATGACTGTAATGGTTGCCATGGTTACCATAGATTAAGCTTGTCAATAAGGCTTGAAAAAAGTACATTAGCCTGGCACCCTGACCCAATCTAATACTTTGTCGATAGGGCCAAGCGTAATACAATCCACGTGACCAACTATCAGCGCTGAACAGGACTGAATTACTGGGCATGTGCATGTTCTATAAAATAGGAATACATGTATATCGATCTGATTGTTAATTAACAGTTGATTCATGATGTTAATCAATAATGTTTGAATTATATATGCTAAATTTTTTGAAATTTGCATTTCATATGAAATGAAAAATAATTTTCAATAAATTCGTGACAATATAAATATTTCCCGCCATGTGTCAAGAAATGATGCTATCCCACAAATACATCATCCAATTGACGAAACCATGTCGTTGTATTCTGCCTGGCTCAACTGTCGAGCAGTGAGCCAGGATCCCAGGCTAAAAAGTACATATACAAAATAAAGTTTGACTAATAGCCAATAGATTGGAGCTGTTAAGAACAAAATGCAATGTACCAGATTGAAATGAAATACATGCAGATACTAAACAAGTCGAGCATAAATGTAAAATCATGACAAACCAAACCCTGAAATTGAATAGATTGAAATTGTTTGAAAACAAGACTATATCATATAATTGTCAGTTGCCCCATTTGTATTCAAACTGTCTAATCACAACACCTGTCAATTGCAGAATGAATAAAATTTTCATTCCTACAGGGGTACATAGCAGGTTCACTCTGTACAGTATCAATAATAGAATTTCTCTTTTGAATAATTTTGACTTGTGATGATTTTATTTTTATAGGTGTGCAGTACCTGCAGTCGCAGCCTTTTCAACCAGCCATAATGTATTTGGGAAATATAAGATTCCAAAAGAAAAGAGAGAACTGATCAACCATTCAAGAGTTAGAGGGATTGAAATATTAAGGAACCCAAAACTTAACAAGGTATATATTATATGTTGTATACAAATTGTAATGTTGTACAAATTATAATTTGTACAGTATTTTTGTACAAGTTATCAGTATTTTGTGAATCTCTTTACAAAATTAGATAAAATAAGCACAGTGTCTTTGGTTAATCTTATCACTGTTTTATTTCCACAACTACATGCTACAGTCTTCCACATAGTACTGAAAAAAAAATTATACGAAATAAGAAATAAGAAATATTTTATTAAAGAAAGCTCAATTATGAACATAATCATTAATAGCATAGATACAACAAAGAATAACATTTAAACTATCTAACTAAAATTAATACTACACAAGTATCAAAATATTATGTGTTATGTGTTCCAGGGGGAGTAACTCTAGTGTAAAAAGATAAGTACATTATAAATAGCAAACAAAATTTTTTATTTTATTCTAAGTAAAAAACACATGTTTAGGTACATGTACTTAGCTATACTTTTGCATACATCAGTGTCTTCATTACTTAACAACCACATAAACTGAGAATTAATATTTGTACTATTAGTAATGTTTTTATTTGAACAGTTGTAGACTAACTCCTTCCTTAAATGAGAAATACAAAAACAATAAAATATATTTTGTGGACATAGAATTTGGTATTAGTCAAAAATAAAATTTTTAATCTAAACCAGTCAGGTGTCCTTATTTGTAGTTTTATTACATAGAGGACAGTGCTTAATGCATAGTTGCCAACTGACATGATATTCGCATGTAATACACGCTTTTTCAACGGTTTACACGCGAGGATTTTATCACATGGCGTGTACACGCTTTTCACCACTTTACACGCGATTACACGCTTTTTCGTTGTTTTGATCTTTTGGTCGTTAGTGATATCGCGATTCTCAGGTTTTTTCATTATTAGACGATAAATACCGAAAATTTCGAAGTAATTGTTTGGTGGCCATTGTTTATTTTTCTATATGGACGAACAGCAAAAGCCCTTAAGGTAAGTAGTTTGTGTGATTAGTTTTTACGATTTTGGGACTTTCTTTCTTTCAAATTCACTTAGGGGAAATGTCAAAGAAAGAGGTAGATTTCAGGACCTGTACTGTCGTCTAAAGAGACGATTTCTAAGCGAAAACGATGTGTACGTACCAAGAAAGATTCAAGATTTATAAATTATATTTGGGAGTTCGAGTTTAAATGATCGAGGGATGAGTAACGCATTGTGCACCCTATGTTGCAATCATAACAATACATTTTAGAGGAGAACTAAAATACATAGCTATTTGATTAAACATTTAACAATTGTAAAATATTTTTCTTTTTCAGTTTCAAATGTAGCCAACAGATTTCCATAGCCATAGGCCATAGGGGATGGAAATATCACGGAACTGTTGGATCAGTTCTCATAGTATTAGCTGTCTTCTGATGAACTACCAAGTTTTGACCAGGCAATAGCAACATATATTATATAGTTTGTTGGGAGCAATGGCAGAGATCATAGATCATGAGATGACATTTTAGTTGGCAAAAAAACATTATGACACTCTTTCAAAGCTTGATGAAGCTATTTTAGTTCAGCCAAATATCAATTCTGACTCTGAGAGATCATTTTCAATTATAAAGAAATTTACACTGAATTCTGATCAGAACTCGACAATGATATATATTGTGTGCCTTGTTATTAAGTAAATGTAACCAAACCAGCAGTTGTTTTGACTATGTGCCTAGTGGTGTTGCTTTAAAAGCAGCAAAACAGACCACTGTTGAATAAAATAAAAGTTTACAGTAGAATATTGTTTTTTTATATTAAAAAATTTGCATATAATGTGAAATTATGAACATTGTTCATTTTAAAAAGTCCGCATCTACGTCACACGTTTTCACACGCTTTTTGACATGTCATGTCATGTCATGTCATGACATGATTTCTCATTGTCAGAGGTTGGCAAGTATGGCTTAATGTTAGGTTGAAGTATATAAATTTGTGAGTAAAACATCGAACTGGATAATTATTGAAGATGAACTTGTATCACCTGGTGAAAGAAGGTGTGTGTCAAAATACTGATAACTTGTACAAAAACCATGTAATTACAACTTGTACACAACATATATATAGCTGAATAATTACCTGGTAGTTTATCTCAAAGCAACAGTTGGATAAATTACCTAAAACATATCCTTATTAGTAGGCTTCTTTTTGGTAATTAAGCCATAGCTGCCTCATTAATTATAAGTGTTTGAAAGTCAGATCTTTTTAACATGCTGCTTTACAAGTTAATAGTCTGTCAACCTACCTGTAAACATTATTATGACTTGGAAGTGAAAAGTCTGCTCTTATTCCTAAATGCTGCGTGCTTAGCAGGGAAAAACAGCAAATAACAATTTTCAAGTCTTTGGTTTGATCAGGCCAAAGGACCGAAACCCAGGACCTCCAGCACTTATTGTACGCTTCAGAATGTAATCAAATTTGTCAAAAAGAAGATTTCTACGTGAAAAGTGTGATTGTTTTGTACATTATTGAAGAAATCCTATATGCCCATTGCCATGGATGAAATTTACATTGTCTTAACTTTTGAAAATTATCCTTGACCTAACGAATAGCCAATGAAAATGTTGTATTATTGTCTCATGATGTTGGATAAGCCAATCAAATTTGTACAGTTTTCATATCACTTTTTCATATCACACTTTGTGCAGTGTGATACGAGAAATATCTCTTCATGCAAGAAATGAGATAACAGGCCACAACCATTAGATAAATGCATGTATTGTCTTATATCTTGAAAACCATAATAGATAGAGCAAATCTCATGGGGTATAAATGCTCAGAATGTGAAGCTCTACCAACTACTTCCTACTTTCACCAAAATTATCAGATGACGCCCATCAATGAGACATGTAGGAGTTATTGCCATTTAATGACAATTTTTGACTAAATTATTGTCTCAAAACTTTTAAGTAAAATAGGTAGAAATTAAAAGGGTAAAAAATTATCAGCAATTCATGATTAACAAAATTGCCAAAATGACAGAAACCATTTGTTGAGTCCTTAAGATGGGTTTTTAACTAATTTTTCACTCTTTATCTAGAAAACTATAATACACAGGTAGAAATTATAAAACTGCAAAAACTATCATTTGTCCTAAGTCCAATACAAGATGAACAAAGTTGTCAATATGACCAAAACCATTGGATGACTCTCTAATGACAAATGAATGAGTTGCTGCCATTAAACATGTTAAATGACTATTGTGACTAGTTTTTGTGATACAAGATCTACAAAATTTCAAAACAACTGAAACCATTGGATGACTCCTATAATGTATAAGAGATTTTATCTTACAATTTTTGACTAATCATGCTATTATCTTAAATAATACTTAGGTAGAAAGATCTCAACACCTAAAATTATCAGCAATACAAGATCTACAAAAAATGCTATATGACTGAAACTGTTGGATGACTCCTAAAGGAGTCATTGCCCTGAAATGAAGATTTTGTACCAATTTTTTTCTGTTTTGGCCAATTACATGTACATGTATCTTGAAAAATATGATACACAGGTAGACTGTAGCCAGTAAGAATGATCAGTAATACAGGATAAACAAAAATGCCAGTATAACCAAAAAATATTGGATGATTTCTCTTGCTTCATAAAGTATGCTTGAAGCTTTCATTCACTGTCAAGTGATAAATGGTTTCTTTTCATCAAAAGCTATGAATTTGTATTGTACAGGGTCATGCTTTTACCTTGAAAGAGAGGCAGTTGATGGGAATACATGGACTACTACCTGCTGCAGTGGTAACACAAGATCAACAAATGAACAGAGTGCTGAAAAATTTTGAAGAGAGACCCACGGATGTTGACAAGTACACCTATTTGATGTCACTGTCCGACAGAAACGAGAAATTGTTCTATAGATGTCTGACCCAATACACAGAGAAAATGATGCCTATTGTTTACACACCAACTGTCGGCAAAGCTTGTCAGCAGTATGGTGTACTATATAGAAAACCTAGGTTTGTTAATGACTAATGTAAGATACATATTACAAGTGATGTTAATTGGACATCAACCCAACATTTTCATAAAAAAAACACTAGAGGTTAACAATTGGCTAGTGTCTAAACTATATCAAGTTTCAAATTTGCCAAAAGTCTGCAGTCTACACCGAAATTCCTTGATATGCTAAAAACATTCAAATATTTTCACAAACATCCACAGATACTAGTGCATAAAAGGATTACAGGAATTCCCTGAAACATTGGACAATTAAAAGACCACACCAACCTCTAACACTAGAATGTTATTGAAAAAAACATACAAAAATGACCAACTAAAAAATAGTTAGATTGCTTGAAACATTCATCATGTAATCTTAAATTCCAAGTAATTATAAAATAGCATCAGGTTTCACTTTATATACTTATGTATTTTAGGGGACTTTTCTTGTCTATACATGATGCTGGACATCTGTATGATATGATCTGTAACTGGCCGGAGGAGAATGTAGAGGTAAGATTATGTACATAAAAAAAAAACACAATTCAAAAGTATTCAATTCGTAAGTGAGAACTATTGAAAACTGTGAAGTGAAAGATATTCATTTGGAGAAGATGGTATGCATGGTATGGTGGGAGATTGGCTGTAGAACCTATTTCATGTTGTTTTTAGAATATCTTATCTTACATTTTGCAGAATGGTCTTAACACATAGAATTGTTTTATAATCAACATTCAAATAAATCAAGTTATGATGAATTAATTAACTAAAACAACTTGTCATGTATCATCAAGTGGACACTCTATTTGTGCAAACCGCTTTTTGACAATAATAAAAATTTCTGTTTGATCTATGCATTTCAACCTCAGATGAGTTGAACTTGATTGATTCAAATTCTCTGTTAGTGGAGTAAATTGTATAGTCTTATCGATGTGATTTATTTAAAAACTTGACGGAAATTCAAAACTTGCTATATATTTATAAATAAGTGTCAATTTTGACTATCATCATGAACTTTGTTCCCAAAATTTATTTTTAAAAGATGCTTTTTATGCCCCATCCCTAGGGGAATTATGTTTTTCGGTCTGTGCATCCGTCCGTCTGTCCCGCTTCAGGTTTAAGTTTTTGGTCAAGGTACTTTTTGATGAAGTTGAAGTCCAATCAACTTGAAACATAGTACACATGTTCCATATGATATGATCTTTCTAATTTTAATGCCAAATTAGAGTTTTTACCCCAATTTCATAGTCCACTGAACATAGAAAATGATAAAGCAAGGGGGGGCATATGTGTACTATGGACACATACTTGTTTCTATTTTTTTAAACCATACCCTGAAAATTATGAAAATCAAAAAAAAAAAAGGAATATGTCAGTATAAGAAAAATAATAAGTGAGCCGTATTTAATTTCAATGATTTATGTGCCCATTAAAAAGATTTGTCAGTTTATTGTATATATGTCTATGATTTAACTGATAAAACACATGACAAAAGATTGAAATTAACATGGAAGTTCCAAATTTAAAAAGGTAGTTTTAAGGGAAAAATCGTCAGAACCATGTTGTTTGAACTAATACATGCGTGTGCATATGCGCAGTTGTGACATTAAATTATGCATCCGAATTCTTCAATAATGCTAAAATTATCATTGATACCTTTATCTATCGTTCATGGAAAGAGCTACTTAAACTTAATCGCACTTTGCCTAAACATACACATATTTTACGTATCCGTCTCTGGTCCATGTTTTACCATTGTCAAGTCAACATAAAAAATATGCCTTCCAAAAAGTGATAGTAAAGATTTTGACAACGTAATTTTGCACAAATAAAGATTCTAAGGCAGATATAAGTACACTAATGTTGCACGCTTCGAATGATGCAATGTCAATTAACAGTTTAGGTCATTACATGGAATAAGACAAAAAATGTCCAGCTGGCACAAATTTTTTTTAAAGCCCTGCATGGAACAACAACTATATATATATATTACTGTGACAATTATAGAATGATAATCAAAACGTTTTTATTTACCCGACTTGTTTGAGTTGAAAAAAATTCCTCTGTCCTCTGTTTTTTTCTGCGGGTGATTAAAGATGAAAAAAAAATGCCTTTGATCCTCATCTATTTTTAGGGGAAAATTAAAAAACAAGAGAATGAAATTTTGATGGTCTACTATTTGCAATTTCAACATTTTAAAATCTACATTGAGTAAGTTATGTATTAGCATGTTTCTCATCTTCGCAGTTATTTCATGCCATCTTTTAATGATACTGGCTTTACAAAAAATGATTATGTATGACATATTCTTTCAGCATATGGCTTTACCAAAGGTAAAAATCTTTAATAAGAGAAATGGGCATGCTTTTTAAACAATTAAACACATTTAGATATACTTCATCATAAGTAAAAAGATCTCTTTAGTAAAAATTTTGTGAGTTTTGTTTAGAAAATAGTGATGATTTTTGTGTTGCATGCCAACAAAGCTGTACACACACATAGGGATCACTTCTGTTGACATGGGTCATAGTCACGAGTATTACACATTTTTATTCTGCAACAATTTGAAAGGTTTGCCAGATTTCATCCAAACTGACACAGAAAATGAGATTCTTCTTCACGAAGTTGTGCACATGCTATTTTGATTTTTTTATCTGAGTGATTTTTCAAGATTTTACATACCAAAACATGGACTTGGGCATTTCTGCTTATATCAATATCAAAATAAGTAAAAGGCGTTTCTTCTTGTATCAATATAAAAATAAGCATATATATGGCATTTCTGCTTATATCAATATCAAAATAAGTATAAGGCATTTCTGCTTATATCAAAATAAGCATAAGGCATTTCTGCTTGTATCAATATCAAAATAAGCATAAAGCATTTCTGCTTGTATCAATTTCAAAATAAGCATAAAGCATTGCTGCTTGTATCAATATCAAAATAAGCATAAAGCATTTCTGCTTGCATCAATTTCAAAATAAGCATAAAGCATTTCTGCTTATATCAGTATCAAAATAAGCATAAAGCATTTCTGCTTGTATCAATATCAAAATAAGCATAAATTTCTGCTTGTATCAATATCAAAATAAGCATTAAAGCATTTTTCTGCTTATATCAATATCAAAATAAGCATATGGCATTTCTGCTTGTAATATAAAAATAAGCATAAGGCATTTCTGCTAATATCAATATAAAAATAAGCATAAAGCATTTCTGCTTATATCAATATCAAAATAAGCATAAGGCATTTCTGCTTCTATCAATATAAAAAATGGAGATGTGGTGTTATTTCCAATGAATACTATCCACCAATGACCAAAGTGCAGGGATACAAACAACTCAAGTTTGCCATTTCTGTATATCATATTATTTGTAGATGGCAGGTTACAAATGTCTTCCTTGGAAGACTCCAACATTTTAAAATTTTTATGGCCCCGCCACAAAGTGGTAGGGGCCATTAAGTGTTACCCTAGCTGGCTTTATCCATCCTTTGTCATTCCACAATGAACAGTTATACAGACTCCTAAAAATGGCTTCAAGCTTTTTTAGCGAGTTGGGCCATTCATGCCAGTCTGACACATCTAGTTCAGTCTTATTTCATTCTCTATTTTAAGGAGAAATATTCATCCATAAAATATATCACTTTCATTGACTTAACTTTATATATATTATGCTTAAATGTTGCTTATATACATTTACATATTTGACTTGTGGCATTATGAATTTATTTGTAGCCATTTGCAGTCACATTTGCATTTTGATTTGTGAAGGATATTGGATAAAGTTTTGTAACACTTTTTATTATGGTCAAAAGTTGTCACAAAGTTGCAATTCCGAAAAAAATGCACTTTGATAGCCAAAATTCATTTAAATTGTGGCATTATTTTTTGCTTAATAAGATTTTCTCTTAAATCATGTTAAGTTCAGTATGTATACGAATTTAAACAAAAAAGTGGTGTGATAATTTGTTACATCGACAAAAATTGCCATAAAAAATAGTTGCATCACAATGAAAATTGATGCAAAGTTTGTCAATATTACATGTTTAAGCTTTAACAAATCATGTATTTAAAAGGTAAAACAACTCTCTGACTGACCAATATATACATGTATATAAATATTGATTATTATATTCTACAGATTCATTTTTATTCCTGGGGTACTAAAACATTTACTTAAAGAGGTTTTCATACATTTAATCTTTCCTATTGAGTACATCCTGGTATTTTCCATTGTAGGCTGTAGTTGCAACAGATGGAGAAAGAATTTTAGGACTAGGAGATTTGGGAGCCTATGGGATGGGAATACCTGTAGGAAAGCTAGCTCTGTACACAGCATTAGGAGGAATACCACCAGAACACACACTTCCAGTCATGTTGGATGTAGGAACAAATAATAAGGTATAATACACTACTGAAATATGAAACATTCATTATAAAAGAAAAATGTACACAAGGTCTTTTAAAGGCTCACCTGGTTTGGGAATACTAATCAATTTTGGTTCTGTCAGTTGTATGTTGCATATCAAAGTAATGTGGTAAATTATCATTATATGTAGACACAATATAGGTCAAACACCTTTTTAGATACTGTTTCCAAAATTTGTGGAAAAGAGGTGATGTCACATTTATACTCTGATGTGGTTCTGTTCATTACATTACTCGCATTGCCTGTAATGGTGAGGAAACCTTGAAAATTTACTTCAAACTGTACAAAAATTGCTGTTTGTTCCAGGATCTTCAGAGGTTTTTTTTCTTTTTTGAAATTGCCATTTTTAATATTTTTGATATATTAATTTGTTTGCTCATGTTGTTTTTTAATTAGTGTAAAAGGCTTCAGCAGAGGCACAATACTGAACACTGTCCATCTGTTTGTCAACAAGGTCTGTGTTGTAAAGTTACTCATGTTTGTTTCACCGATTTTCATATATTTATAGACAATGTTGGAATTTAAAGCAGAATTTAAACTCTCTTTCAAATTTTCCGATTTTCCGATTTGTCATTCTAGAGTCATAAGAGTGGTCATTGATGACCTTAGGCATTAAACCAAGTGAACTACTCAGGCTGAAGTTTTTTCTAATGTGAGAATATTTTGAAATTTTTCAGAAACTTCAAGAGGATCCATTATATATAGGTAACAGAAACCCTAGGGTAACAGGGAAACAGTATGATGACTTTATTGATGAATTTATGGAAGCCCTTATTAAAAGGTAGTTTAATAAAATCAGAATTACCACTAATGTTATTATCTTTCAATTTATGATGTCAGATGTTCTCGTTGGGTACTCCGTCTTTGTTCACCAAAAAAAACTTAGTCGCCATGAATTTATGAGGTCCACGGTTCTATTCACATACGACGTAAAAGCATTAAAGCAGCAAAATACCTATCTTAAAGTCTTGGGACTTAATAAGGATTATACTGAAACAGTTGTACATTCCCGGCTAATAGGCTACTGTAAGAGTTCTGATATTCATTTTAAAATTTGATGATCACAAGTAAACTTTACAAGAAAATAATTGCCGATTTTGTTGTATTATCAGTAAAACTGTTTAATGAAGAAAAAGAGGTAAGCTATTAGCAAATATTGTAAATAAACATTTAAATGTGCCATTACTTTATCATTTTCTCTTCTCAGATATGGGATTGACACATTGATTCAGTTTGAGGATTTTGCCAACAACAATGCATTTAGATTTTTGGAGAAATATAGAGACACCTATTGTATGTTTAATGATGATATTCAAGGTAAGTCTAGAACTTTCTTTATTGAAAATAGCCCACTTATAACTTTGGTGTCTTTTGGTTTTTAAATGCCTGTCGTAGACAGGAGCTATAAGAGTATCCCTCTGTCTGTCCGTAATTTAGGTGTCTTTTGGTTTTCATTTGTTTGTCATAGACAAGAGGTACATGGGTATACCTCTGTCTGTATGTCCACCCAAATGTCTTACAAAAGCAAGAAAATGTTTTGTTTAAATATTTTGAATATTTGAATCTGTGGAAGAAAGCTTTTTGATTTTGATAATATTTTGGTTTGTTGTTGCAGAGTTACAAAACTTTTGAATGTCAGATTGAAAGCAATTTTTCATATTACTGGGACTAATTGGAGTATGGTAAGATGGATTTCAAATATTCCATTTTATTCTCACAACAATTTCAATATGCACATGATGGGCTTATAATGCTTTCCTGGTGCAGCTATTTATTTGTATTGTTAATTAGCTGTCTCACATCTTTTATTAATACTGTGGATTCATTTGTTTCCGTGGATATCAATTTTCGTTGATTGAGGAAAACTTGGTATTTTTGTGGATATTTGATTTCATGGATTTTCAAAAGTCTGTAAACAAGCCTAGAGAAAATGCTTTTTGTTTAACATCTAAATTTGTGGTTTAACTATACACAAAAAATCCATGAAAAGCTAAAATTACTGTTTTATGAATGGAGTTAAAAGTTCTACATGCACAATATAAAATCTGTTGCTTTTTCAGGCATTTGTTATGACAAAATTGCAATGTTTACTGAGTTTTATGCATTCCTCACCTCTTCAATGATATTAAGAAACCACAGTTTGGAATCACCCAGTATCATGTGGGCACTGAAAACTGATATTTTGAATACTGAGAGTGTGATAATATGAGAACTTTGCCAACATTTATTAGCTTGAAATGTTTATTTATTTACAGGAACAGCATCAGTAGCCGCTGCTGGTATTATTGCCTCAATGAGGATTACAGGCAAAAGGTTATCTGAAAACACTTACTTGTTCCAAGGAGCTGGCGAGGTAAATTTCTTCCTCAGAAAGTTAATAAAAAAAACAACACGCTGTCGATAATTTTTTAATATATTTTATTGAACATAATTATACAAAAATAACAATAAGTTCATCATGAAATAAATCTTTCTGCTTTTCTCTTTTCTCCAAAACCTGAAATTACAAAAGCTATACTTGATCTGTCATTGAAAATATTGTTGAAATTTTTAAATTTTAAATTTTTTTTAGTTTTTATTTTTACCTTAGATAGGTCGATTCGCCGCATAAGACAAGGCCAATAAATTTCTGAAAAAAATATCGTCTTATCCACCGAAAAATACGGTACATATTTTCACACTTCAGCTATTCACAAAATTTTCAAACCATTGAGATATATTATACTAAATCTCACATTTTGCACCACTGATGAGTTTAAATCATTCCATTCAGGTAGAATTATCAAAGCATAACATTGTGATACAAAGTTTATATCATACAGTCAGGACTAAACATCATATCGTTAGTCATATTTTATATAGTCAGGAAAATAGTCCAAAATATTATACAGTCACAAGAACAGATTTTGGAGTGACTTCGATAATTGAGAATTTTAAGAAATGTAATTCTTATTTAATACTATCATACAAATATTTTTTTTGATAAATAGATATAAGAAGATGTGGTATGAGTGCCAATGAGACAACTCTCCATCCAAGTCACAATTTGTAAAAGTAAACCATTATAGGTCAAAGTACGGCCTTCAACACGGAGCCTTGGCTCACACCGAATAGCAAGCTATAAAGGGCCCCCAAAAATGACTAGTGTAAAACCATTCACACAGGAAAACCAACGGTCTAATCTATATAAAAAACGTGAAACGAGAAACACTTATGAACCACATCAACAAACAACAACCACTGAACATCAGGTTCCTGACTTAGGACAGGTGCAAACAAATGCAGCGGGTTTAAACGTTTTAATAGGCGCCAACATTCACCCTACCTGAAACAATAGTGTAACATCACAGCATAGAAAGACACACTATAAAATATCAATTGAAATGGCTTAACTCAATCAAAAGACATATTAACAGGGCTCACGCTAGCAGGCGACTGGGGCAAAAAAGTTGCTTTCCCGTCCGTCACTTCGCTTTGCCCGACCGTCAAAAGCGATATCTAGTCGCCCTGGTGTTCACAATAGTCGCTTGCAGTCGCTTTCGTCATCCGTAATTTCCCCTTCTTATCAAGTCAATGAAACAGCAAATTTTTCATTTTAAAGGGAAGAAATTCAAAAACATAAACGATTTATTTCTTTAGAAAAGATGTGAAAGTATTGACTTTACAGATTGGTCGTATGTTATTTCAAAGAAACAACTTTTATGAAGTATTTTCTTTCACTTCCGGTACTTGTTACTCGAAATTGTATATCAAAACATTCTGATTATCGACAAAATAAGTTTGTTACTTCATTAGAAAGTGATCAAACTTGCCTTTAGTTAATGTTTGATCCATTGATTGCATTAAAAGCGTCATATTCCTTTCCGATTCGCTTGTCAAACTTTGTTTATTTTCTTAAATTTTCTTAGTCCGCCATTGAAATATTTGTACGAACCACGGATCGGAGGCGGGATTCATCGGAAGTGGACCAGCTTTGACCGAAATCTGTATTCTTACAATAATAACTACTGACAATAGAATAATGACCCAAAAAGTGAAAATTACGCATTCCACACGCATTAATAGCATTAATAGACTTTTGGTTAGATCTCCTTGCTAAATGCATATATTTCCATGTAAATGCATTGTTTCAATTTATTGATTAAAGTTGTTTAACTTTGTTAAATTTATATATCTTTTTAATGAGAAACAGTGAATTTCATTAAGATGATAAACAGAATAGTTTTTTAATTGCATTTTTATTGATATATGATACTTTCTTTTCCTTTTTTGATATTAAAGTTCTTTTAAGTGCTAGATATTTAGTTGGTAGATTCTGTCAAGAGGATTAATATAATTATGCAACTATAAATGACTATTTAAGACATAAACTGAAACAACTGTTACTTTAATTGACTCAGGTATGAATTGAACACCTATATATATATAAAAAAAGGATACATATGGCCCTTTATATTATAGTAAAAACCAAACATTGTAGCGCCGCGAGCTAACGAGCACTTCTCTTTCAAATCTCACCACTTCTCCCTACCAGTTTCAAAAAGAGAAGTCACTTCTCCCTATGATTTTGAAGTAGTGTGAGCCCTGATTAACAAAAACAAGTGAACATACACTGAACGAATAAATTTGATCTATGACACAATGTAAATACAAAATTAATAAAACAAGGGGGTTGGATGTAAAACAATATCAAAAAGACAACTATAACCTTGAACAAAATGCAGCCAAATAAAATAACGTACACAGGTTAATAAAAATAATTTTGTTGTAAGGTATACATGGAGTACGGAAATAATTTTTACAAAATAAATAATTTAGTTGTTCCTAGTACGAGAACAAAAGTGAAAAATTATTTTTATTTTTCAGGCCAATATAGGCATAGCTCATCTTATTTCTTTAGCAATGGAAGATGAGGGTGTCTCCCATGAAGAGGCCATCAGCAGAATATGGATGGTAGATTCAAGAGGACTACTTGTTAAGGTAATTTATGTTTCAGTTACCAAAGAAAGTGATTTTACATGAAAAAATATCAATTAATTATGCAGGTACTGTTTAAAAGGGCTGTTCTAGGAATGCATATGTAGAGGTTAAAAAGCACATTTCATTTTATCCTGCCATGCATAAAATTTTTATTGATTATTTCCTATTATTCTTTATGCTGTCTTTCTTAAAAAAATTATCGCCCATCAAAAATGCCTTCTGACCCCCCATACAATCAATTCTGGAACAGATCCTAAAGGAATAGGACCTGTGAGTCCATAAATTGGCCCTTAATATTGGACTTTGTCATGTCACATATAAATTTAAAATCCAAACTATGGATATTTTTTTGAATAAATTTTTTTTTCTGTTCACTGTTTGTTTTGGACATGGTTTATAGGTCAGAACTATCATATTGTTCTAGTTTTTTAGCCATATTTCCTCTTTTTTTTTTAAATGAGGAAATGAATCACACAATTATGATTTTCATCATCAGAGTTCACAATTAGTATGTCAAGACTCCAGTATTGACAGATTTATCAGAGCTGTTGAAATTATATCTGCCAGATAATATGTTTCCATCAAAAATGATTTTACTGTTCGTACTTAAATTTCATGAAATTTCAGGGCCAAGTTTGATCTTTCCTGAACCTTCTCTTTGGAAACCGATTCGCTTTCAATGATATATATTAATTTGGAAAACTTTTTTTTATGCCCCCGCCGTAGCGGAGGGGGCATTAAGTTTTACCCTTGTCTGTCCGTACGTCACGAAATTGGTTTCTTTTCTCTAATTTTAGTTTGCCTCAACCAAATGTCATGAAACTTATACACAATGCTTATTACCACAAAACACAGATCAAGTTTGAATTTTTTGTTCATATCTTACAATTTGTGAAGGCCAAAAAATGTAACCCTATACATATTATTCTTATTTCATGTCATGTTTTACAAGGTCTATTTTGTTATATACGAACTCTGTGATCTAATGGTATGGTGCTCTCACTGATTTTGGGATGTCATGGGTTTGATCATCTGCCCTAGTCTAACCAAAGACAAGAATATTGTATTTTCTGCTTCTCAGCTAAGCACCCACATTTAGGGGTAACAACAAAGACAGGTCAGCTCTGAGTCGAACTTATGTGTCTTGGTAGGATAGCATGTTTTCCTTCAGACTGTTTGTTGCCTTACGAACTAGCAGGTTAAAAAGCCTGGTTCATTTTCTTACCAAATAAACATGTTCTAATCTTGATATGCATGTAATAGTTGCCATTGGACGTTAAACTCTAATCCATTCATTTGCCTATATTTTATATTGTATACAGGATCGACCAGCCGGAGGAATCACAGGACATAAGGAACTTTTCTGTAAAGCACACAAACCCATTGATACATTAGGCGAGGCTGTAAAGGAGATTAAACCATCAGCTATTATTGGTATGTATTATTAAAAAAATTATTACAAATAGAAAAATTGGTCACAAAACAAAATACTGTTGATTCATTTATTTTTCGAGAATATCAATTTTCGTGGGGTGAGAAAAATTGTATTTTCATGGATGTTTTATCTGACCTTGACCTCATTTTCGAGGATCATGTTAAGTTTATTTTCGAGGATATCAATTTTCGTGGAGTGAGAAAAAATTGTATTTTCATGGATGTTTTATCTGACCTTGACCTCATTTTCTTGTATCATGTTAAGTTTATTTTCGAGGATATCAACTTTCGTGGTGTGAGAAAAAATTGTATTTTCATGGATGTTTTATTTCGTTGTTTTGCAGAGTCTGCATAAATGCCTGTAGATAACATGAACTTTGTTGAACTTTTAAATTGACAGTTGACCTTTACCCATGAAATCAACGAAAATTGGTATCCCACCAATAATAGTGAATCCACAATATCTATTGACCTTGACTTTTGAAAATGTTTTGCCTTTTCTCATGGTCAACATCTATTTCAGATCCTGCAAAATTATTTTTTTGTAGTTAATTTGTATTGGGCATTGAGGGGCCTTGATGGCTGAGTTGTCTAAGTAAATTGAACTACTGTTGAATCCCACCTGTGGCAGGTGCCCTTGACTCCAATCTTAGTTGACTAAAATTGTCAGTTTTCTTACCGAAGATCAATGGTTCTTTTCGGGCAGTCCTATTTCCTCTACCATTAAAAACTGACCCCATGAAATAGCACTATAATGCTGAAAGTGGCATTAAACACCAGTCAATCAATCAATCAATTAATCATGTATTGGACATTGGATGCTGAAGGCATTTGCAAAATTCATCTATGTGTAGTTGTTTTTGTACAGTGAAAATGTAAGAGAAATTGTAAAATTGATTGTATAGATTGTGACCCAATTTTCAAAGTGCCTTCTCTTGGTACCATTAAAACAGACATGGGACCAAGGGAAGAAATTTCAACATTTTTATCTATGTGTTGGTATTTTTGTACAGTGAAAGTATAAGGAATATTCTTAAATTTATTGTCTAGACGGTTACTCCATTTTCAAAGTGCCTTCTCTTGGTAACATGTATGTGTTAATGGGAACAGCCTAACCAACTGTTTACTTTATATTTATTTATGTTTTTAATATAGGTGCTGCAGCAGTTCCACATGCATTTACTGAAGAAATTGTACGAGATATGGCCAAATTCAATGACCGACCAATCATCTTTGCTCTCAGTAATCCAACAAGTATGGCGGAATGTACAGCTGAAGAGGCTTATCAATGGACAGATGTAAGACTTCTGATGTTTTGTATGGTGTTAATTTATTTGTTTTCACTGATTCCTAATTTTCCTTTTATTTCTGAGGTTCTTGCTGTTTTATGTTTTTTTTTAAATAGCACAATCTTGAAATTTTTCATCAATCAACATTGTAGTGAATAGTTTAAAGTGCTAATAATTTGATATTCAGTATGATAAAGCAGTACTGTAAAAAAGTTTGAAGTGCTAATAATTTAATGTTCAGTAGGATAAAGCAGTACAGGAAAAAAAGGTGTGACCAAAGATGGCATTTTTATAGTTGTCATACCAGTTAATTTCAAGTGCACCATCTTGGATAGTAAAATAGTAGAAAACAATCACTCTAGAACTTAATGAAATGTGCAAAGTCTGAGACAGGAATGCAATTCATTTGTAAGACTTTTCATTTAAATGAAGTGAATATTAATTCTATTTTGAATAATATCTGTTTTATACAATTTTTTTAAACTTAGCTATTTAAGGGGAAATAAGTCAGATAATTTAATTTAATAAAGGAATGGACATAAAATTAACCTATTTTTGTGGCCTTGAAGGAGTCAAAAAGTGAGACATAGGCATGCTGTTTCCGGTGGCGGCAGCTGCATCAACAATGTATTAGTTTGTAATTAGGTCAGTTTTGTGGGGAACCACTAGTGGTAGGTCAATGATATTTGGTATGCAGTTGTATAAGCATTGGCACATCTCATTTCCATGGGGATTATTTGGCCCTGACCCCTCAGTCATGGTCTTTTGACTTTAAAACTAGCATTGTTTATATGTATTAGTTTGTGATTAGGTCAGTTTATGGGGAACCACTAGTGGTAGGTCAATGATATTTGGTATGCATATGTAGTAGCATTGGCACATCTCATTTCCATGGAGATTGATTGGTTCATTGACTTTGAACACTGTTGAATATTTTGCATAACCTACATGTTAACATATTGCTATTTTGATTTCATCATTTTCATTTTACTATAAAATAACAAAAAGGCGAGACATATCTCTATGTTTATGTTTTGTAGCAAGAAAATGAGTATGATGAACCCAATAATTTTTTTATGAAATCACACATTATGAAAGCTATCTTTTCATATTTTCTTTCAAAATTCTATCTTTAGTTTTCTTTCTATTCGCACAAAGCTTCTTTTTATGTGCCTGTGCGACGTATTATGGTATATTGTTGTCCGTCCGTCATCAACATGTCGGACAATAACTCAAAAACGCTTTAACCAATTTTCATGAAACTATACTGAATTGTTAGTATCTATTGACGTAAGCTCCCTTTCGATTTTTATAAATTTTAGATTTTATGTTTCCAAGTTGTGGGATTTTATTCATAAAAAGTGGGGGATTTTCCAGTTTTCTGACCATAACTCAAAAATGCTTTGAACAATTTTCATGAAACTTTGGTGAATTGTTTATATATATTGACATAAGTTTCCTTTTGATTTGTTTAAATTTCTGATATCGCTTTTGGAGTATTGGGACTTTATTCATAAAAAAAGGGGTGATTTTCCAGTTTTTAGACAATAACTCAAAAATGCTTTAATCAGTTTTCATGAAACTTTGGTGACTGGTTTATGTCTGTTAAAATAACCTCCCTTTAGTTATTTTTATAAATTTCTGATATGACATTGAAGAGTTATGGAACTTTATTCTCTGAAAAAGCGATTGGTGTATCATGCACTCATGGCCCAGCTCTTTATTCCATGTATGATCTTTACAAATCTGATAGTTTTGAACAAACTGTAGCTTGAAATAAAAGCCCAGTTACTAATACTGTTTATTTTATTTTTGAAAAAAGCATGACATGAACTCCTTTTGGCAAAGTATTAAATAGTTTTTTATATAGACCTTAAGCCGTCACTAAATTTGTTTGGATCAAATTACATTTAGCACTCTTCAGTCCTAAACATTTGATGAAAAAATAACATATGAATTATATACCCCTAAACAATTGATGAAATAATAACATATGAATTATATAACCACATCTTCAGTAATGATTTATCAGTAGAAATGTAGAAGTTACAGCTTAAAGAAGTATGAATGTTGATATGAATTTAAAATTTTATTTCATATTTCAGGGAAGGTGTGTATTTGCAAGTGGTAGTCCTTTTGATCCAGTAACAATAAATGGTAAAACATTGATCCCTGGACAAGGAAACAATGCTTACATCTTTCCTGGTGTAGCACTGGCTGTGATCAGCTGTAAAATTAAACATATAGATGAGCCAATGTTTTTGAAAGCCTCACAGGTATGTAGAAAAAAATTGTATAAGAATATTTCTATATTTTCTTTTGTGAAAAATTAACGTCATGTGTTTCAGTTTTTGTGTTATCTTTTCTCTTTTCATTTTTCAAAACAACATCTCCAGTTGTCACTGTATGTTTTCTAAAGTATAACTTGAAAATTGAGTATTTTCTTTTGCACTTCAGTTTCTGATAGATTATATTTCTAAGTCTTCTTGCTATTAAATTCTTATTTTAAAATTTTATATGGTTCTGCAACAAATTATTCTAAACATTAAATTAGACCTTCTGTTAATATCTAGAAAATGCATTTTAACTCTGTGTCCTTGCCACTAAAAACTGCGAACACATCATGAAAACTATTGGAGGAAAGGTCATATTTGTCATTGGTGGTGTATTCTAGCACGTACATGTATATGAAATTAAATGGGAGCAATGTATATCTTTATAGAATGCTAGTTTTTTTTTTTTAAATGCTGCTATTTAAATATTACTTGCGTTCTATTTTGAAAATTGCATGCTATTTTTACATCATTTCAAAGATTTGATTTACAATTCAGAACTTTAGTACTTTGTGTGCTGTTTTGAAACTGGGACTAGCAGGCTATTATTTAAATTATAGTGCTATAAAGCTGATAAAATAAAGCATACTTACAATCCTATTAGCATGATTAGACTAATTCCACTTTATTGATATTGTGAAAAATCATTCTTACCCGGTATATAGAATTGTAAGTATGCTATATTTTATTATCTTGCACCTACATGACTTGACTGTTTTTCTACAGCAGTTTGTTAAAATTTCTGACCAGTTGAACAGTTTGGTTTGATAAAACAAATTGCATTTTGGTTAGAATTTTGAATAAACTGCAATAGGTGGAGAGCAACACTTTCAGTCAAGCCACAGTAACGTGTGAAAAAAAAATCAAATAATTGATCATCCTCAATCTACGTCAATGTTCCCTCTGTACCTTACATATGGAAATAGACGAAGCTAAATATTTCACTCATTTAATCTCATATTTTTAGAAGTCATTAGATAAATTTCAAATAAACTCTATATTGCTTTAGACCTCAGCTCTGCTCACCGTTTACTTCTTTTGTATTTTCTTAGTACTTTGCCAAGAACAACAAGCCTAGTTGAATTGTAAATTTTTTTAAAAGTGTTTCAAGTAATGTATTTAGTTGTTGTTTATTATTTTTTTCAGACTTTATCTGGATTAGTTACTCAACAAAATTTAGAAGAAGGAAGAGTATACCCACCGCTAAGTGATATACGAGAAGTGTCCGTTAGGATAGCTACGGCTTTGGCGGAATATGCTTACAGTACAGGTGCAGCATCGGCCTACCCTGAGCCAGAAAAAAAAGAAGCGTTCATTAGAAACTATCTTTATCACACTGAATATGAATCGTTTATTCCTGAAACTTGGTCCTGGCCTGAACATTGTCCTCAGTAAGTTTAGCACTCAGACAGAAAATTGTCTTTTTTTCAGCATTAGATTTTTAAAGCAGAATTGGAAATAAAATTTTATGTTGCATTTTGTTTTAGGATGGGATATTGTAGAGGTTCAAAATACTATATCTTGATTATGCAATATTTATTTCCTTTTTTTTTTAACTGAACATATGTTTTGATTTCAGCCACACTAACGTGATTTAAAGTTTTTGAAATTTTTGGAAGACAAACGCAGGTGTTGATAGATGACATTGATTTGAACTTAGTTCTTTGAATTATAGTTTCAGAAGAAAAGCAATGGAAATGAAATATATGACTAATATCATGAATATTTTTAAAAGAAAACCATCTCTTTTTTTTTCAAAATTAGTAAATTGTTGATGGAGTGAAGGTATTTTTTTTTTAATATATCTTATAAAAAATATCATTTCCACAAAGTTTAGGATGCAAATCAATCAATAATCAATTCACATAATTTGTTTGGAAAATTAAAAAGAAAAAGGAAAATTCAAATCAATTTGATTTGTCTTATAAAACATAGTCTTGGATTTGTAAACTGTTATAAACTCAATTTATGTAGTACTATAAATAAGATTTGGGATAAGAGAAAGATGTGAAAATATAATGATTTTGAGAACATTTATTTTTATACCACATAACTTGTGCAATGTAAAGGAAATATATGACAGACTTGAACAATGACAATAGTGTATTTAAATGATATTTTGGCATCTACATGCATCTTTTATTTGAATTATGTATGGTGACAATGTTTACTTGATACTTACATAAATAGAAGCAGTATAGGTAGTTGATGTAGGTATTCTAATGTAATTTTTTGAAGTATAACAGATGTACTTTTAAAGTGCCTGTTAAGCTACCATTCCTCTCTCAATCTCAGAATTTCTTTTGATCCTTTTTTCTTGCTAGCGACGAAAGTCACAGTATGTGAGATTTAGGTATTACTATCCGGCGGCGGCGTAAACTATTTGTATAAAGCTTTATATTTTAGAAGGTGCTTCATATATCTTGTATGCAAATACCTTATGTTTCTGTCTGTCATATGTCCATTGTCCTTGACTCATTTTCATGGTTATAGTTTTTTTGTCATTTGAATTTCTCACTTATTATGAGTAATAGGATAATTATATTTGGTATATGGGTTCCTTGCAATGTCTACATGTCCGCCAGACAGGGTTCACCTGACCTCAACCTCATTTCATGGATCAGTGATCAAGGTTAAAGTTACGTGATTAGGTCCATTTCTCAAATACTATAAGCAGTATAGGTCAACTATATGTGGTGTATGGAATGATTGGTATGAGTACATTTTAGTCTGGCAGGTTTCATCTGACCTTGACCTCATTTTCATGGTTCATTGGTCAATGTTAAGGTTTTGTGTTTTGATCTGTTTTTCAAGTACTATAAGCAATAGGTCAACTATAGTTGGTGTATGGAATAACTGTCAGGTGTACATTTCTGTCTGGCAGGAATAATCTGATCTTGACCCCATTTTCATGGTTCATTGGTCAATGTTAAGTTTTTGTGTTTTAGTCTGTTTTTCAATTACCATAAGCAAAAGGTCAACTATATTTGGTGTGTAAAAAAATTTTAAGGTGTGTATGACTGTCTGACAGGATTTATCTCATTCTCGTAGATCTTTAAAAATGTTAAGTTTATGTGATACTTTTAGTAAAAGCTTTATCTTCAAGACTTTGAACATAAAATCAATGGTCAGTAAAGCAGGCGAGACATTTCAGCGTGTGCACTCTAGTTTGATTAAAGTTGTTCAGTTTTTGTGTAGTCTTGTTGCATAAAATGTAACAAAAATGTGCTGTTTTGTTTTATCTTAATGTTTAGCAATAGTTGCATATTTAATTACAGTTTTTGTACCATAGTCATATATTTTTTTAGAAATATGGAACTGTAAGTGGAATGCATCATCATATGTATTTCCTGTAAATAATTTCTTTTCTTTCAATTCAAATATTATAACAATAATGAATGCCAGTATTATTTGACAACAAACATACCAAAAAATCCCAAAAAGTGTTTTATTTGGGAAGTGCCATGACCATATTTTTATTTTGATATATTTATTTCCTCTTTAAATACCAACTGTCTCATTTATAGTTTCTGTCAGGTCAGAATTCTCAGGGTGATTTTATCAGAGAAACAGCATTTTAAATCTTAAGATCTTATAAATGTAAATGGGATTTCTTATTTATGAGTAATTACAGAGATTAAATGTTTTAAAGAATTCTGTTGAAATCAATTATGTACCAGGCAAAATAATCATATAAGAACAAAATCAGTGAAGCAAATTCATTTACCGTTTAGGAGCCTACTGGTATAAGACTGCCAGTTTTTATTGGTAAGGTTTGTGAGTTTTGAAAAGAGACTTAATATAAAGGGGAGGTTACTATTGATAATTTCACAATTCAAAAGTACAGAATTGTGAAATAAATGCATCTTTTGAGTTTGTACAGATAAATTATATTTTGGTAAAGTATAAAACTTGTAAAAATTTTACTGCAGAGATCAACCTTTTGTTTACCTTTTCTTTGTCAGTTAGCAATTTTATTCAAATATTAACAATAATATATTTTTATACCAAAAGTCTATATTATCAGAACAGTACTTATTTTTCTGGTAAACATGGTAAAATATACGTTTTTACTATGTTTTAATAAGGTTTTTTTTGTATAATAAGGGACGTGAAAGGATAGGAAGATACTTTCAAAGTCAAAATTAGTATTTGGTTGTTTTCCAAAATGTACACTGTTTTACAAAAGAAGAAAAGCTGTAGGTATTTGATGAATTATCTTGCCACAGTATTTGAAATAAGATAACTTTAAATTTAAATAGGTCTACTAGAAACTTGCAGAACACTTTTCAAGATAACCTGCTTACATTGATAGTAACATCATGATGCAACACAATGTCCAACATCATTGTTCTTAATTCAGATAAACTGACTACAAGAGTGTAAACTGGTTTGCCTTACTATCAAAGTTTGTCAATTGGTTGATAGACTGGTTCCCTTAAAGATGTAAAAATCAGGTATCAACAAGATGTTGACCATGCAATATTTAATGGAAAATTGTGATGTAACAAAGTGTTGTTTCTGTAGCAGTTACATTAATGACATTAGCTTAGAATAGAATTTATGGAGTAATCTATGAATAGAGTGTGTATGTAAATGTTAGTCTCAAAATTTTAATACATACTGGTACCTAGCTACTGAATCTATCATTAAATGTAACAAAAATTCACAAGATGACAAGAAGGGAACCAGATTACTGTGGATTCATTATCATTCATGGGATACAAATTTTAGGGGATTTCAGGGGTAAAAGTAAACCAGAATTTAGCTTCTCAAAGAAGCAAACAAATTTCTATTTGCAAGACTTTTGCAAAACTCTGAAATCCAGGAAAATGCAGTTTTTCCTCAAACCATGAAAATTTGTACCCACTAAAAATAAATAATCCACAGTATATATATAAAGTGTTTATTCTTATCATTTCTTGCTTACATAATGACCGTCTGCTTTTATTTCTTTATTAAGACGTCAGTAATGATTCAGGTGAGGTTTGTTTGATTTTTTTAACGAGTGGTCCCTAGTGTTGTTCCAGAAATATATGTATAAACGGGGGTTGAAATTGGAAGACACTTTTGCTAACTGCATAAATTTCCAAAATTCATATTTGAAGTGAGTTGTTAAAAAAAATTAAGATGTCTTCCTACCTCTAAATACAATTATTTCGGGAAAAGCCGATAGTTTTTAAAAGTTGTTTAAATAGATGTCCTAATTATTAAGATTTTCGCTGATTGCTGTGACATAACATTAATCCCCTTACAAGTAGGACAAGTACAACAGTAGTTTCAAGTTTCCCTTTTTTAATTACAACCTCCTTATTTTTCTAGAAATTTTTAGATCTTCCTAAAGTGTTCCAGCTTTTGCCCTGTGCTTGTTAAACATTCAAATTATAGTATATATCTTAGTGTTTAGTACATGTACTTCTGTTATTTTTTAATTCCTATACATTATCAAAATTTCAAAATCCCCATATTGAATAGTCATTGAATTCAATTTTGTTATGATTATGAATTTCATATGTCGGAAGTGCTTTTCTGGATTTGCATTCATCAGGAACGCTCAAAGCTGAATATTCAGAGGATGTGTAAGAACTGAAACAGTTGAAGAGCTATATGACCAAAAGGGACCATAATAAAATGTTGATGATCACATTGAAATATGCTTACTTCAAATAGGTTTTTGTCTTCAGATTTGTGTTGGATCCCAAGGCAAACCAAATGTTTTTCAAATAGGTATTTGCTGTTTTTAACTTCTGCAGGGATTTCGACATTTAAAAATAAAAGATAAGACAAATTGGCAAATAATCAAAATAATGTTTTAAGGTAGGGTTACATCTATCAAACAGTTCTTGTGTGCCAACATGTTAAAAACATACATCTTGTGTCAGTCTAGTATTAACAAACAAGTTAATATTCATATCACATTAACAGTTAATGCCTTGATGCATGTAACTTTCACAGTTAGATTTTAACCATCTATAGGTAAATTGTTTAAAAAAACAATACACAAGGACCACAACTGACTAACAAAAGTTAAAATGTTCATGAAAACAATGCATATTTAATATTGGAACTGAACTTTCCTCATATATTTATGTATTAGATGTGGAGAGAGTAGATGAATTTATTTTTTCAACATCAAACAAACAAATGTATGCTTTTATAGTTTATATTCATGTGAATTGCTTAATGATATTTAAAATATGATGTAAATAAAAATCTTGGTATAATACTGATTACTGTAATATTTTTTAAGATGAAATTTTAAGAAGTGTCGTTAAATTAACCACCATAGCTGAGTTTATGTTACAAAAAGGGAAAATATGAAGGAAGACTTTGAGATTGAATACTAATGATAATAGACTTAAAACAAAATATTTTAGCAAATGAAGTATGTTGAAACAAAATATTTCAGCAAAAAAGTATGTTGAAACAAAATATTTCAGCAAAAAAGTATGTTGAAACAAAATATTTCAGCAAAAGTATTTTGAAACAAAATATCTCAGCAAAAAAGTAGGTTGAAACAAAATATTTCAGCCAATAAAGTATGTCGAAACAAAATATTTCAGCAAAAAAGTATGTTAAAACAAAATATTTCAGCAAATAAAGTATGTCAAAACAAACCTATGATACCTTCAGTCGTAACTGACTGCATTGGAGTGAATTTACCATGCCTTCTGCAATAAAATATGAAGCAAAAACTAATGTTTTATAAACAAAAAAAATGAATGCTTTGCCTTTTTGTACTACTTCTGGTTTGATACCACTTGCTTTGGACACCTTCTGTCCTGCACATGATCAATGTATTGGCCATTATTTCATAGATTACTACAGCTTTTGCAAGACCTATGGTCATGCTTTTATCACTCAAAGTTTCCTTTAATTGTTTTGCCAATTCTTTTCAGTCTCTATATAGTTATTCCATTTTGGCTACCAAAGCTCTGAAAATGTTTTGGAAACACAACCAAAAAAATGTCTGATGCTTTATACTGCATGACTTAATAATGCTTTTGCTTAATATTCACAGGAGTTACTGAGATGCACAATAATGGTAAGAGTATGGTTAGAGGCAAGATCAGATAGTGATGATTTTTGTAATATTTTCAAGTGTTTTAAATGCAAAATTCTGTGATCTTATTTGAAATAACAAACTTAAAAATATAAAAGTATTTTGTTATTAAGTATACTTGATATAGAAGGATTACTTCACAAGAGATTAAAACATCATTTTTGTACAAGTGTTAGTCATTTAGATTTATTAGTGTATTTTAAATGGCAAAGTGACTTAATTTTAGTTTTTTTGGTGATGTTTTTATTTATTTGATTATTTATTTATTTGTTTTTATACCAGAATGTTTATGTACATCATGACCAGAATATTGTGTCTCATAATTACTGTATCAGTACTTTTTCTGCAAGTATTTTTTTCACAAATAAGTTTTTGCTGATGAATCTGTTTTAATTTTCGTGGTAGTTCAAAAATATCAATGACTTCTTGTATAAAATCGAAATTAGGTTTTGCAGATAAATATGTTTTAATTTTCGTGGTAGTTCAAATATCTCTGACTTCTTGAATAAAATGTAAATGAGTTTGAGATTAAATTTCATAAAGACTTTTAAAATTGATTTACAATATAAAAAACTATCATTGTGACTGTTAACAAAATAATAATAACAATTCAAACATCAAAACAGTTGACTTTAAGATAGAGGTATTGTCTTAATATGTTGTTTATTACACAATACATGTATAGGTTTCACATTTTCTTTGCTAAGGTCATTATTGGCTAGGTCCTTAATTGGTTTTTTAAATGACCACTGGTGTTGATTTAAATGGGCACACTTAATTAAAGTAACGGCAGGTGAACATTCATATACAGTTGTAAAATTGATTTTATATGCATATATCTATCCATTTTCACCAAAATATACCTAACACAAAAAACACAAAAATTTATACACAGCGAAAAAAGTACATATACAGTACTGAAACTTGGTGCATTGTGCATTTTTTTTCTCGTGAAATTGACTAATTCATATAAACCTTTTTCTTCGGCTGAATTTGCAAGATCTGAAATAACTTTAAAATAATCCAGTCTGTTCTTTAGATATTGTATCCACCATGTATACTGTAAATTCAGAAATTATGTGTGAATTTCACTATTGAGATTATTTATCAGCAGAAAAATATGTAAGAATATTTATTGCTATTTCAAGAAAAGTTGTATGCTGGTGCAGCTAACAAACGTTGTTATGTTTTGAAGTAAATGTGAAACAAATCACTTTGCACTTTTTGCCACGATAACATCACAAAAAATTTCTGAATCTACAAATAATTAAGTCTCTGAAACTAAATTGGGAGACTTTTTGTTTATACTTTGTTTCTTCTTATTATTAATCTAACTTTTTGCTTTTTGTTTGCTGCTAATGCTTGTTTCTGCAACAGATGTTGATGTAGAATGACAAATTTTTGGTCTTTTAAATTGGTAAGCTAAATTTTTGATTATCAAATTAAATTCACAACCAGGAATCCCAAAGCCACTCAAGATAGACCAGTTTAAATTGTCAGTATAGTTTAAATATACTGTGCATACTGGTTGAACAAATGTTTATAGATCTGATAAAGATATTATTTCCAAAACATGTTGGAATGTAAATCACATAACCAATCAATCATTCTTTTTTAAAAACAATTGGAAACTCGCTAGTCTCTAAATTATCTACAAGCTTTATATGAAAATTTTCAGATAAAACAAGGAATTTCACACTTTATGGGAATATTTCAGTTTAACGTAACTCTTGTTCACCATTCATTTGTTATAGACAAGCAGTTTAAAGTTGAACACACTAGACAATTTCTGGTTTTCATTTCCGCACTCCATATTATGAATTGACCAGCCCTATTGTTTTTTTTGTTTTTTTTTTGTAAAATAATGAATTTATGGTATTTGGATACGTTTTTCTTTATACTTCTTTACTGCAAATTAAAGTCAATTGAGACTTTTTCTTTATCATACTTTACTGCACATGAAAATCAATTAAAGCTAGGTGCTTCCACATTTAAGCTAGGTGCTTCCACCTTTTAGTTAAGAATCTCATTTTACCTTTTTCTACATATTTGATTTTTTTTACATCGAAATAGTTTGATTTATAGATTATCCAAGAATAGCATTACAATATTTATGATTTTTTTATTATTTAAAATATGTATTAAATCCAAAGCTTATGTAATAAATAGATGTGGTATGATTGCTAATAAGGCAACTATCCATCAGTGCCCAAACGATAATGATGTAAACAACTATAGGTCTGACTGGAAGTTAATGTAAAGCAATATTGCTCCATTGATTTTATTAATCTATGGTTGCTAATTATATTTTATATAGTAAAAATTAGTGAGAAGTACATGTCACTCATAAAGATCTGATGAAGCCGTCCTTTTGTTACAAATAGAATATTGAGATATTACAAATTTTTAAATGATTATTTTAAAGTCATGGTGCTCAACACAAACTTTGCAAATATTTGTTAAGAATTCTACCCGTCTTTGAATAATGGAAATTAGTAAATTTGAGAAATTATGATTGTTGATTATTAATTCGCAATTTCATATTAAATTATAAAATTATCAGTGTATATATTGCGCCTTTGTTAATATAATTTAAGTGTATTTTAAAAGGAAACATATCTTAATGAGCATACTTTGTGTTTGTTACATACTGTAAATTCAGAAATTACAGTGTATATTTTTTATTGCGATTATTGAAAAATAGATAAATATCTGAGATCAATTAATGCGATTTCAGGAAAATTTACACAACAGATATATGTATCAGATATCAGAATGTGAGATCTCATTATTGCAATACTCACCCAGTTGGATTATTCGTAAAAATAAAAACCTTGCAATGACTTCTGAATTTCCAAAATATATAATATACTATTATGCATAATAATTGCAGTTCTTATTTCAGAAATTCAAAGTAACAATATATTTTGAAAAATACTACAGTAAAATTTTACAAAAATATACCAGTACTTTTTCTACTTTTTGTATTGGTAAATATCTATTATATATATAAACTAAAAACCTACAACTGATTTTGATAACGAAATTCTATCTCACAACAACTGCCCATAGTATATTGTGTTCAATGTTTTAAATTGTCGTATTTGAAAGATGTTATTCATATATTGTTGGATAAGTATTCACAGCATACTACAATTTTATTAATTTTTTTTTGTTAAAAGCCAATTTTAAACATGTATAAATGGATACACAAGTTCATAAATATGACACAATGTTGTTCTGAATTTGAGTAAAGATCCTGCCTCTATGAAACTGGTGATGGTGAACCAATTTCTGGGGAAAGGAATTGGCGCCATTCATATTCATCTTAAACTAGCATTGTCTTTTACTTAATTGAACTATTTGAACTTAGAATGACTTGCAAAATAAATAACATATTGCACACATTTCTTGCATTATTTTTCCTTTACTATTGTTTAGTGCTAGTCTTTGACAGTTCACTTTTTTCATTTTTATTTATTGACAAATTTTGTAAGTGTAAGATAAACTATGTGTTCTGTGTCTTTTATTTTATTAAGCCATTTGAACTTGGAAACACTTCCAAACAGCATATTTATGACATTTTGTGCTTAATTCTTTCTTCACTCTTGTTCAGTGCTAGTCTGTGACTGTTTCCTTTTTTCATTTTTATTTATTATTTGAAAAAATTCAGTGCTGGCTGAACTATGTGTTTTTATCTTTAATTAAAAGTAAATACATGTTGTATTTATGCAACTTATATTTCATTTTGCTAGTGCTACATATAAAATATTTAAAAGTGGCTGTAGTTAATATTCTCTTTCAGGCCATGGTCATTCATTATTGAGATAACCGCTCAACTGAAATCCCATAAGTATTGCTATCACCTCTCCAGCATTGTTCTATTAGTGTAGAAATGATATTTTAAGTATTGGGATAACCTTACAGGCAATAAGATCTAGATAATAGTCTCTGACCATTTGCCTTGAAGTGCAATAAACCTAGTAATAATCTTTGAATAGGGCAAAAAAAAATAATAAATGTGTTTCCGCTAACCCTACCTGCCCTAATTTTTAGTGCCTACCCTAACACTTTTTATGCCATTTTGGAACAAGCACTGTTAAAGTCAGACTGATTCCCGAGTAGTAACCAGCTAAAAAATGTTTGTAAAATAAAATGATATTGCCTACCTACCTACCCTATTTTTTTTCAGCATGTTAGTGGAAACACATGTATTTTTTTTTTTGGCCTAGGTCTTTGGTTGTTATCTGCCCTATTTGATTTTTTGTTTAATTATTTACAATGTAGTATAAATAAGAATGTTGTTTTATCTCGTTTGAATCATTTGACATTTTGTAAAACTGGGGGCTTAAATAGCTTACTATCAATCTGAATAATAAAAAAAGATCTATTGCAAATCGGGTGCTTGTCTCATACGAGGACAACGAAATCAGAGATTGTTATTTTAATTAGATTGACTTACTATACGGTATGTGTTTTGGTCATTGCGACCTACAGTTTTCTGCATCCATATCTGATGTTAATGACTTGCATCAGGTCATGTGCCAAAAGTATGAAGAACCCCCCTCAGATCATATGCCATTAGTGTGTGTGTGATACTCATTAACAGCACAGGTCATGTTTCAAAAGTGTATGAATACCATTCACCTCTGTCATGAGTCGACAAACGTATCAAAGATAACAGGCTTATATTTTTTATGCAGATTACATAATACTCATCAGTGGTGCTTGAAGCAATATAATTTGACATCCAAATCAAGTACGAAGTTGAAGAGAATTGACAACCAAATAGTCCAAAAGGTGCACAATAAAGATAAGGCCATCTATGCCTTGGTGTAGAAAGTCATAATTGTATCGAATAATTCAAATTTTGTAGGATTGTCACGTCAGGTCGTGTACCTAAAAGTATATGAATAACCTCTTAAGACTATGCGCAATAAGTGTATGATTATCATTAACCTATCATTGTGGTTCAACTTTCAAGATATGAACTAGAAGTCTGAATATGTACCAACCTCGCAGACTGTATACAACAAGTGTATAACTTACCCCTTACCTTAACTGCAGTAACTATGATTGACCTCTCGGGCAATGCACCAAAAATGATCGAATAATTTCCTGGGTCATGTACCATAATAAGTGGACATTCAAACCCTATATTAAGTACAGGTAGTAAATAGGGCTTTGGTGGTAAAAAGGTCTTAGTAATAAGTTTTACTTAAGATTTACCTTAAGAACTCCTAAATACTCTGGCATTCTATTTGTTAGGTATATTGTACGGATTTTGATGACGTAACAAGTCAATTGCTTTATTCTTTTTTTTGTAAAGTTTTTAAATTAAGGTTATGCATCGATTTCAGGGACTTCAATGCTACATACAAAGAATTTCAAATACCTTTACCCGATATTGATTTTTTTTTTCTTTTCAAGTCCAACAATAAAATGTGGAAAAGAAAAAAATATCATTTGAAATTGGAACTGTTCATCTGTTTGTCGGAAAGTAAGGTATACATGTAATTGTTGAAGTAAAAACAAACCTAGAGGGTTTATTCAACTATACAACTCAGATTATGTTGTATTGGACATTTGGCAGATGCACATTCATACACATTTTTATGTGATTAGCAAAGAACAACATATGATCATAAAATGTTTTATTTTACTTTTACTTTCGTATTTGTTTCATCTTCTAAAAATTGTCTGAATTGTTTTTGTCAATGATGGCTTATGCAATTAATTAACTGTGTGTTAAATTTTATCCAAAAAGTTTGTTAAAGCTGGTATAACTGGATTCATGTCTTTCCTCTTCCTGACTTCATTCACTACAGTTGCTACCCTTGATTCTGTTGGGGGATCCAGCGGGTCACCAGGTAAATATTGCCAATGATCAAACACGCACTGTGGGAAAGCTTGTCCGCCTGTCTGGCCTCGAAGTTCTTCTGTAAAACCTAAAATATTTTGGATTCAATAAATGTTTCATTAAGCTATCATTATTAAGGGAATTTAGTTTGTTTTGAAAATGTTTTTCTCCTTGATTGAAATGGATTTAAAATTGTAATAGATTCGGATTGCATCTAAAAGTTGGAAGTTAAGGTCTTTTAAGAAAACTACTGTGTTGTATTTCACAAAATAGTGTATTGGATTCCAGTTTGCTATTTCGTATCATTTGGGAAAAATGCATCTACTGTGCGTATTGCTATGTGTTTCTTTATTCTACATTGGCTAGAGGTATAGTAGGAGGGTTGAGATTTCACAAAACATGTTTATCCCCGCCGCATTTTTGCGCCTGTCCCAAGTCGGGACCCTCTGGCCTTTGTTAGTCTTGTATGTTTTTTAATTTTAGTTCATTTATATGTTTTGGAGTTTAGTGTGATGTCCATTTTCACTGAACTAGTACACAATTTTATTTAGGGGCCAGCTGAGGACCACCTCTGGGTGCATGATTTTCTCGCTGCGTTGAAGACCCATTGGTGGCCTTCGGCTGTTGTCTGCTCTTTGGTTGGGTTGTTGTCTCTTTGACATATTCCCCATTTCCATTCTCAATTTTATCTAAGAAATATCATACAAAACCTGGGGGGAATATTGAAATAATTTATGCATAAGAAAGACTGAAATGTTTGGATATGCAGCATATGATGGAATTTGAGTAAATATATTATTATTCTTACCAAATGATTCGTTAACTGGTAGATAAGCTTTGATTTGATGTAAGGGAATGCCTTCCTGTTGAACAGCATCAATAACATGTCCTCGTCTCTTCGAAAGTACATTATAAACTCCTCCCATTTCTGTTGAGGGAACCTATATAAAGAAGAAAAGATCAATTATAACTAAAATTGCATAGTAGATAATATGAATGTATACAATTGATTTCGATATGTCTGTAATTACTTCATTAGCATTTCAAGTACATATATCATCAAAAAGCATCTAAAGCAAATAAGGTCCTAAATAGGACAATTAAAATCGCCACTTTTGTCTGAAACTTTATTAGCACAACTACATTATTTGTAAGTACGAATTTTTAAAAAAGTGCATACTCAAATCCAATTTTGCAACATTTCTGATATTAAGACAAAAAGATATATGAAGGCAGATCAGAACTGTGAGGGGAAATTCAACTAACCTGAATTTCAACGAGGTACACAGGTTCCATAATTCTTGGTTTAGCTGTTAGCATTGATGCAATCATAGCTCTTCTTACGGCTGGCATAAACTGACCACCACCTCTATGACTCGGGTCGCCATGGATCTTCATGTCATGTATATCGAAACGGACACCACGTAGACTCTCTTCACACAAAATACCCTGAAAATATTATCTTAGGTCAACAAACAGTTTTCTTATGAGTTTTGATGCTAGTTATAGTAAATATCATTGCCCAATTTCCAAACAGAAGCGATTGCCTTCAAGACTATGGCTTGTTGATACAATTCTTTGCTTTCGTATTCTGTCATAGAGGGTGCAATTAATTCACTTTAGTCATACAGACATATATTTTTTAGAAAGATATAGCATATCTGTGTTGGCATACTTATTTGAAGTCCGTATGAATTTCTTAGTTATAATTTATAACTTAACTGTCACCAGTCACATCGGGATTAGTTTGGAAACGCTTTTGAAGGAGATGAAACGTTAATCAAGAAGAAGCTTGTGTCCTTTCTTTTTTAATTCAAGCAACGAGCGTCAATTCTACAGCTGAGATGTCTATTTTTTTATCTACAGTCAAACATTTGAAGACGAGTAGACTAACAGGAAGATCTTCATATGCTTCGGATGGATTTTTTTTTAAGATAAATAAAGTGAATCAGCAATTAATCAATGAATTGCTAATGAATTTCCAATTTGTCACAAGTATTTATGAAGTGGTTTTGTAATTTAACATTTTTACATGACACTACAAAAAGGACTAACATTTTTATAAGTGGGAAGTTCACAAGAAGACCATTCTTGTATATCACTTGAGTGTTGCCTTAACTTGCATGGTAACTTACCTCCTCAGATGCCCACTGGAAGCCTGCTACTATAACGTCCTTGATGTCATGAAGATTCTGGACTCCTTTGGTACAGTCTACCAGCAAATTTGGACCAGAATTGGATGGTCCAAAACACCAGATTTTCTTGGCATGCATGGGATCAAAGTCATACTTGTCGACCAGATACCTTGTCCTTTCTTTAGCATCTTGTGTGGCTGTCACTTTTCCCTGCAAGGATAATATTAAACATAATAAAGTTAAGTCCTACAAAAATATGTAAGATATATGTAACACTCAGAAACGTGTCCATCCCCCCAAACGTGTCCATATGACGTCGTTGAACTGCAAAACATGTCTAGTTTGCTAAAGGGCGCCAAAACCTGTTCTGTTTATAAGCGCCCAATTGTGTCCATTTAATTCAAAAAAGGCCAAACGTGTCCGGTTTATATGAAACCGTAAAGTCTCCATTTTAAAAGCACAGAAACCACTTCTGCATGAAGCAGGTCGTACAATACCCTCATACATTATATAGACATTTAGGTATCATCGAAGAATATTAGTACAATAGAATCCACTTAGTAAACAATTATTTAAACTGTACAAAACTAATAAATTGCAATGTTTATGTTTTTTTTTTAAATACGCATGACATATTTGCCACTGGACATTCAGCAATCAACATTCAATAGTTAATTATGTGTTGCAAATTTAGCTTGCAATTATACTTAATAAAAAACAACCGGCTTTGA